CTTTGCTAAACTATTTTTATTTAGTATCTAAATCATTTTTTAAAAATTCCTAGGCCCTGCAGGAAACACAAATATAACCCAATGAAGGATGAAACTCTAATAAAAAAGAATTGATCATTTACATGGAAAGAAAGTGCTAACCTCAGATAGCAGAGAGGACGCTAACCTATCTTGAAAAGTTTAGATTAGCCTTGGACAGTGGAATCTCCATCTTTTAAGTGGAGAATGAAAATGGTCAATGTGAAAGCATTGTATGAGAAAAGTTTAGAGAAGGATGGTGACAGGTGTCAATATGACCAACTAATAGAAATTAAAATAAGCCAAAGGTGAGAGGTTAAGCTATCACCTATAGTGATTGTAGAAGAATAGAATGATAGATGTTAGAACAATTTCAAAAGAGGGCAGGAAATCATAGAATATTAGATATGCAATAATAAAAGCTACCAATTAATTGGTAAATTACTCAACAATTACTATTTTATATATACACACACTATATATAGGTATTTCTTGTTAAAATGTTAAATTTGATTATTTTTAAATTATTTACAAATGAGGAAACTGAGGCTCAGAAATTTCAAGGGAGCTTACCGAGCTACTGAGCTCATATAAGCGCCAGATTTAAATAGAGGTCTACCTCTGTCCAGACCTTTCTGCTGATATCATTTCACTGCATCATATAGAGAAACATATATATTCTTATATCATTTCACTATGTCATAGTGTCTTGAAGATTACGAAATATACAATCTCTTCATTACATGGGATACTAACTAGCACATTTACAAAATTGCTAGTTCACAACCCAATTTTAGAACATTCCATCCCTTCAAAAAGATCCCTTATATCCATTTGTAGTCATTTCCTGTTCTCATCCCCAGTTCTGGACATACACTAATCTACTTTCATTTTTCATTTGTCTTTTAAGAATATTTCATAAAATCTTAATTCAATTGTGCCTGTCTTCTTTTGTTTACGTAATATTCTTGAGATCCATTCATTTTATAAACTGTATTAATATTTTGTTCCTTCCTGCTGAACAGTCTAGAAAAATAAGAAAAAAAATTTGTTTCTTCTTGCTGAATGATTTTCGCTGTGCAGATACACTTATTTTGTTTATCCATTCACCAGATGATGAACAACAATTCTGTTTTTCTCTAGGCTTTGGCTACTGTGCATAATTCTGGTATAAATATTCATATGCAAATGTTTGTGTGAACATGTTTTTGTTTCTATCATATAGAATCCTAAGAGTGGAAATGCTAGGTCATATGGTAAATTCATTTTTAACTTTTTAAGACACTGCCAAACTGTTTTCCAACGTGGCGTGTCTATTTTACATTTTCACTAGCAATATATAGGAGTCTCAGTTTCTCCACATCCAATAACACTTATTAATCTGTATCCTTTTTATCACAGTCATTGTAGTGAGTATGAAAAGGACAACTCTAAACATAGTTACTTTAATATCAGGAATACATACATACTGCTAATGTAAATAACATTATATGTTGATCTACCCAAGAATGAAATGGGCACTGTTGTGAAATAGAGATTACTTCTTGACTAAACTTTTCAAGTAGAAGTTCCGTAACTTCTTGTCAGGAATAGCATAGGAGATATCACTGCATTTAATAAATTACTGAATATGAAGAAATTTAAGGTCCTATGCTGTGTGCCCTACTCTAAGGAAAATAATAGCTACATTAAATGGAGGACCAATAATGATATTCCCTTTTTAAACTTCAGAAATGAAAGAACAGAAATCAAATACCATGATTCATATCAGGTAATAAGTGGTTGAAAAGGATCTGAACCTAAGTTTATAGGAATCCAAATAAACTTAGTTTCTTACTATTTCTACTGTTCTGTCCCCAAAATGCTAGAGAAGGTATAGGACTTTTTCCCTTTGTTTCTTTTAGAGAGACATGACATATGCACATTAATCGCTAAAACTTTTTAAGCTAATGTCTGCCTAGGTGTTTATTAATAATTATCATAAATATGATTCAGCTTCAGAAATTAATAAATCAATGAGAGAGAAAATATTTATAAAGGCTCCTTGAGAAATTAAAGTTCAAACATAACCATAGAGAATAGATTTGGGGAGGTAGAGATTGAATGTCTTCCATTTATGTTTGAAAATGTGGTGTTGTGGTTAGATTGATGGTGGCAGTGGCTCATTTGGAGCAGCTGCTGAGAAGATGCCAGCTGCAGCAAGCGGAGGCACAGCTGGGGCTGTGCACTCCACAAAACTGACAAGAGCTGGAAACAGGTTATCCCAACAAGAGCCCCAGGCCCTAACAAGTTGGTGAGGCAGGAGCCCCATGCTGCCAAGCACAGCTGCAGCCACCCTGCTATGGTTTTGGACATGGGCATCCCTGTACTCTTGCAGCTGGGGAAGCCCCCTTCCTCAACAGGCTTGGAAGTGCCTGCTCCCACTCCCTGGCCTTTCTCAACTCCCAGTGCCCACTCCATTATGGAGCAAAGTTGTGGCCAAGCCCAGGTTCTATTGCATCCCAGCTGTGTGTGCATGCACTTAGAGCAATGCTGACATGCCAGCTCCCTGCCACCTTGTCTCCCTCTGGACTTTGGGTGCCAATGAGCACAGGAGCACAGGCCAAGGGGCTGAAGGTGGCTCAGTGCAGGCCTGTAGGCATCCCTTGGCCTGGACAGCCTGCATACCATGAATAGCAGGAGGCAGACAGTTTCCTTAGTAGGAGGGATGGGTCCCCAGTGAAGCTCCACCTTCATGCCAGGAATGGCCTGAAGCCTGGGATCTGGGCTGTCAGTCCAGAGTGAAGTCCACAACCCAGAGTGAGAACTTCACTGATGCCTTTTGACCAATTAGATGGTACTTTCTCCAGGCCCACCCATAGCTACCCATGGGCCAATCAGCATGCACTTCCTCCATTCTGAGCACATAAAAGCCTCAGACTCAGCCAGACTCAGTCACTCATCGGGGGAACCTGCCTACAGAAGGGAGCTACTGACTTCAGGTATCCTGAGAGCTGTTGTTTTGTTTGATAAAACTCCTCTGCACCTTGCTCACCCTCCAGTTGTCCATATACCCTCATTCTTCCTGGATGCAGAAAAATCACTTGGAACCCAGCAAATGGCAAGGGCTAAAAGTGGTGTAACACATTCCTGGCCCACTTGCCAAGCTGTGGGTGGTGACATGCTCCTGGACTATGAAAGTAAAAAGTGGTGATCCTTCTGGTGGCTCAGACTTCAAGATTATGCAAGCCAGAGCTGCTGTAAAATCTATAACCCTCCCACCCTCTGCCAGTGCTGGGTAGCCATCCCACAGGACAGGAAGCAATGGTGAGGCCAGGCCAGCTCACAAGCTGTAAGTCAGAGTAGGGTGGTGGGACTGAAAGGGCTGTAACACAAATGGACTGAAACATAACTCCTCATTTGCTTCACTGTGGGTGATGAGAAAGAGAGAAGAGCTTCTGGGAGCCCAGACCTCCGGACTCCCTGAACCAGGGCTACGACAGGCTGTACCACCTCCTTTGGGACTCTGCAGTTCCTGGCATCTCTGAGCTTTTGAGTGCCACCACATTCCCCTCATCCAGATGCTGGTGCCCTGGATGCAGTGGAAGCCACTTGCAGTATGCCTGGTTTAGCTGCAACCTCATATGAAGTCCATGTTTCTGCTGGCACCTACAGCTGCCTGCCCCACCACAACAGCCAGTGTGCCTGGCTGTGTGCAGTGACTGGACCCCTGTGTTTGCTCACTCATATACCTCTTACCACTTTGACCCTTGACAAGCTTGGGATCCAGGCTGGTAGCACAAGCCAAGTGCAGCCTGCCAGGCCAAGTGGGTGGAAAGAGCCCAGTGGGCATGAGCAAAACTCAAACAGAGGCACCACCAGCCACAGAGGTTTCTATCTGGAAAAGTGACATCCTAAGAATCCTGTGACAAGATCAGAGAGAGATTATGGCAAATTGAGGAGAATATGAGGCAAATAACATCCCTGGATAACAGGAGTTTCTTTAGGGGATTGTAGGAGATAAAGATTTTTTTCATGATAATAGAAATAGCTTACAGATGACTCTGAATATAGGACAGAGATACACTTTATGTCTTAGGCAGTGGGGAACAGTAAAAAATATATATTCAAATTGGTTTTTTTTAAGAAGACTGGAACAAAATAGTTGAATACTAAATCATTTGGTGTATCAGGGAGTAAGAGATGGGACATAAAATGCCATTGTGAAAATGTAGGTGTAAAATATGAAGAGGTGGGTTTAGGTAAAATCCATGGAAATTAAAGAGACAACAGGAAAAAAAGAAAGTAGTTCAAAGAAAATTTTCACCTAATGCAACATCTATTAGGTTTATGAAGTGAAAGATGGAAGAATCAAAGAGAACTCTTTAAATCTCCATTTTAGTCCAGTGGAAAGGCTCAACAAGAAAGGGAAAGGCAAACAATTCCCAAAATTTTGAAAGAGTTTTATAGGAAGAACACAAAATGTATCCAACAAATTGTCTTGATGATTATTCAGTCTACTCTCCAAGGCTTCATTGTTACACACTTGAGGATTGTGGGTGACTGAAATTCCAAAGAACTCCTCTGGGAGAGTAATGGGTGAGGCTGCTGTGTTTCTGGCTGATGTAATAGCACACAAACTCTAGGCAAGTCCTACCCAAAGACAGGTTGCATCTCCTTGATGACACAGGTATAACACCCTGCCTTTTCACATCTACAGCATGGCAGAGTACATACAGCAGGAAGGCAGAGGCATCACAATTCTGGAATATTTGCAAAAAATACTCATTGAATGTAGGATTTATGATCCATATGTTTATTGCCATTATTTAGGGAGTGCATTTCTGCAAATAATTCTTACAGTCCTTTATGTGCCTCACCAAAACTGCACATCTTGTATTGAAAGATTCATTATGAAGAAACAAGCAGCAAGGACGCACTAGAGAGAACAAAACTGTGGGTTGAACCTGTATATTTTTCTCTTGCTTACTGGGTAAGACCAAGGTGGTATGGCTTGATGGATAATGATATTTCAGGAAAGGGATACAGCAATTGATTCTGTTAATGTCACTTTTGTTGCAAAGGGGATGACAAGCTGATGGCAACAGAGAACCCCAACCAGACTGTGGTGAGCCATTTCTTCCTCGCGGGTTTAATGTACACAGCTGAACATCCTAGCCTCTTCCTCCTCTTCCTTCTCATCTACAGCATCACTGTGGCTGGGAATCTCCTCATCCTCCTAACTGTGGGCTCTGACTCTCACCTCCGTTCACCCATGTACCACTTCCTGGGGCACCTCTCCTTCTTGGATGCCTGTTTGTCTACGGTGACAGTGCCCAAGGTCATGGCAGGGCAGCTGACTCTGGATGGGAAGGTGATCTCCTTTGAGGGCTGTGTCGTACAGCTTTACTGCTTCCACTTTCTGGCTAGCACTGAGTGCTTCCTGTACACAGTCATGGCCTATGACCGCTATCTGGCTATCTGTCAGCCCCTGCACTACTCAGTGTACATGAACAGAAAGATGTGTGCAGTGCTGGCTGGAATCACCTGGGCCATAGGTGCCACGCACGCTGCAATCCACACCTCCCTCACCTTCCGCCTGCGCTACTGTGGGCCTTGCCACATCGCCTACTTCTTCTGCGACATCCCACCTGTCCTGAAGCTTGCCTGTACAGACACCACCATTAATGAGCTAGTCATGCTTGCCAGCATTGGCATCGTGGCTGCAGGCTGCCTGATCCTCATCGTTATTTCCTATGTCTTCATCGTGGCAGCTGTGTTGTGCATCCGCACAGCCCAGGGCCGGCAGCGGGCCTTCTCCACCTGCACTGCCCACCTCACCGTGGTGCTCCTGTACTATGTGCCACCTGTCTGTATCTACCTGAAGCCTCACTCCAGCGAGGCAGGAGCTGGGGCCCCTGCTGTCTTCTACACTATCATAACTCCGATGCTCAACCCGTTCATTTATACTTTGCGGAACAAGGAGATGAAGCGTGCCCTGCAAAGGCTATTGTGCAGCAGCTTCCAAGAGTCTGCAGCAGGCAGCCCACCATCATAGTCTGTGCTATCGAAACTCACAATTTGCTAGCCAGGAAAGCAGCTCTTCACAACTGAAAATGAGTAGGAAAAATCATTCAGGTGGAAATCAGAATAACTGAGTTGCAGCTCAGCCACAAACTTTCCCCCAACTTTGGCCAAATGATCTCCCCCACTCTTTCCCTCACAAACACTTCATCTAGAAAATGAGAAGACTGGATTAGATGATGTCTAGTCTCTCCAAAATCTAAGTTCTATGGCTCAGAGGTATGTGAAATGCTATTCATATCCTCATTTGTATTAGTAAATGATTGTTTCCTTTTAATGAAATAATTTTATTAAATACATAATACATATTAAATAATACTATAAACACAAAATACAAAATACAATGAAATGAACCTTTATATACATATTTCCCAGCTTTGGAGAAGAAACCACATTTTAAAAAAATGATAACATACAAGAAAAGTGACTTGTCCAAGGTGACTTAGGCAGTGTCATTATCTTTATACACTCATGGGAGTGTGTAACTAAGGCCACACTGAGAGATAGAAATAACACAGGTTTTGGTGTCAATTGAGCCTACCTTACTCTAATCCTGATCCAGCCAGTCTTAGTTATAGAATGTTGTACAAATGTCATAATTGGAGTTTCAGTCTCTACTTTCAAGAGTAAGAGTTAAAATAATGGCTTTGTAGGATGTTATGAGGTCTAAATAAAACAATTATATTAAATAGGTGCTCCAATATTGTACCAAGCTGGCTGCAGAAATCCAAGAGAGCTTATCATACAAGTTAAGGTTCAAATTGTTTCTGAAGGATTAGCAAGGTTTTAATATTATTGTTGAATTTACAGGCCAACTACAAAAGAAAGGGCATTTCTGGACTTCAAAATTATAAAAGATAACTCCAGGTTTTAGTTAAAGTAGCTTATCATACAGGAGGAGGGAGTTGTGTTGTATTCACCTAAACTATTCTATAAAATGAAAATGTCCTTGAATGCCAATCTAAAGAATTCAGATTATGCCCTAGGCATTCTACCTGTTTACTTTCCTCCTTCTTGTCATCTATAGAAATACCTTTATCCTGAGAAGCCAGTTCTTTAAATGCTAAACCGTGAGATAAATTAGAAAGAAAGAGAAAAAAAGGACAATTGGCATAATGGCCAGTTAGTTAACTATTATGACATCAGAGACATAAGATAATAAAAGCATTGCTAAACCTAGGTGAAGACACTGGAGATGAAGAGGCATTTTATAGAATTAGATTAGAAGTGTTTTAAAGAGAAAAAATTATAAGACTATTAGGATGGGAATAGCAACTATAATCATTCTTTCTTTTACATTTTTAAATTTTTAAATTTTTTACTGTTTTATTATACTTTAAGTTCTAGGATACATGTGCAGATCATGCAGGATTGTTACATAGGTTTACAAACGCCATGGTGGTTTGCTGCATTCATCCCCCCACCATCTACATCAGCTATTTCTCCTAATGTTGTCCCTCCCCAACTCCCCCACCCCCTGCTATCCCTCCCCTAACTATAATCATTTTTGACATATGCGTGTGCAAAGCACTGTACTTGTTGCTTGGTCTATGTTAATCCTCGTAAGAAATATATTTTGTAGTAATATTTTATTGTTATTTATGACATACAGATAAGAGGACTGAGACTAAGTAAGATAAAATAACTTTTATAAGGCTATGCCAATCATAATAGTTAAAGCCAGGATTTCAACTTAAATCTATATGTTTTTAAAGACTACACATCTCAATTATACAATAGTACTTTGGAGATAATCAAATCCCACCCCCACTTTTTACTCAATATATTAGAGGTCTCAAAATCCAAGCCTTTAATAAAGAGAGGTCCTTTTTCAGACAAGGATTCCTTGGCCTTTGAATAGTTCCTAGTCCTCTGTAAATGTAGAAACTGAACCAAGCATTTATGGAACGAGAAAAAAGAGAGAAAGAAATGCAGTGAAGATGCAGCACTCAATCAGAATTCAGAGCTGTTCTCCCTTGTTCTGTTATCTTAGAGGCATTGATGGATCTCTAGGAAGTGGCTCAGGCAAATTCATCATTCCTATCAGAGTAGACTTGAAGTGAAGGTAGAATGTGTGAGAGTCAAATGCAGAATGGGAGATGGTGTTGAAACAAGCTATGATCTTGTCTTACACCATTCCTCAATCTTGTTAAATGGCTGCCTTCTAGAAATGAAAGGATAAGTTATGGAAGAAGACTGTGGCTGTACAATACCAATTATTCTCTTTTTCTCAACTTTGACCTTAGCACTTTGGCAGCAAAGATTCTCCAACACATTGGCTTATAATAGTCCTTCAAAATGGCACTGCTTAATATCCTGCTTTACATTTTTATTAAATGTTTCATTGTATAACTAGTTTATAAAAACTTGAAGAGCAAAGAAGCCTTATGTCTCTTAAGTGCTCTAAGCAAAGGAACCAGGTAAAATATTTGTTCAGTCCAGTATTCAGGATTTGAAAATAAAACAGGACACATACACATTCTTTACAACAAAATTACTGCATAAAAATATTTGTTTTATATCCAGTTAGGGAAAGAAAAGTTGTTAAAATTGTTTTCTTCTTTCAGATATTTCTATCTTTGGGTCTGATTTTCAGATTTAGGAGATGTGGTATATATACTAGTATAAATTTACTTGAAATTTAAAGGAGAGAGGGACTCGAAAATTAACTAGTATTAATTAAAATGAAAAAAAAATCTTCACAAAAGGAGAACTATGTAAGAATATCATTTTGCTAGCTTTCCTACAATGAAAATAGTACACGCTGATATTTTCTTTATGATAAATATATGTCAAATGGATAGGAAACAAAAGCATTACTTGGACAGGATAATTTGCAGGAAAGGACATGCTGTAAGAGTGACTCACTAACTTACTATTGTTCATCCTATGTCATAGAGTTTCTGAGGCAGAAGTTTACCAGTACTCTGGAAGGTAGACTGTACAAACAAAATTACGATATATGTAATCAACGTGACTAAATGAAGGACTCAGAGAATGAAGGACTTCCACAGGAAGAATTGCATTCAAATAATGAATACACAAATGATTTGTGATTTCAGGCTATTGTTTAAATAAGATGAGGATCTGTAAAATATATAATTGTGTCCGCCATCATTGGCAGTGCCAGAATTTAATAAAATAGCATTTCTTGGAAAATGTTCTGTGAGAGTTTTGTCAACTTTATATCCACCTCCCACTTACATTATTACTAACAATTCTGCCATGTAGGTTAGAATAAATGTTTGAAAACACTAAACCTAGGAGAGCACAGACTGTAGCACAGCTGTGATAAGGTAACATTGGTCAAGAAATCTTGTAGAATTGGACAAGCTTTGGAGTCAAGTGTTTGAGAACCAGTTTTATCAGTTTTTAATCAAGAGAGGTTTTCTTTGAGATAAGCATTCTTCAATCTTTGAATTAGAGGTCTTTGAACTTAGATCATTGTCTATTACACATACACACACGCACACACACACTCACACATTCAAAAATTTACCAAAATTCTAAAATATTGGGACACATTGCACTTTCCAGAGGTGAATACAACAATATCCCAAATAACTTTCTTTCATACATGCCTTGTTCTTGATCCTAGGGGAAAGCATTTATGTTTTCATGATATTTGCTTAGGTTAGGTGTAGGATTTTCACAGATGTCCTTCATCAGGTTGAGGAAGTCCCCTTTTACTTCTAAGTTGTTGGGAGATTTTATTAAAAATGGATCTGGATATTGTCCAATGATTTTCTCCATTTGCTGAGATGGTCTTATAATTTTTCTTTAAGTCTGTTAATATGGTGAGTTACAACGTTTGATTTTCAATGTTAAACCAATCTGCATTCCTAGAATGAACCCCAATTGGTCTTCATGTATTGTCCTTTTACATATTGTTGAATTTGATATGCCAGAAGTTTGTTAAGTATTTTTGTATATATATTCATGGGAGACATTGGCTTGCATATTTTATTTATTGCAATGTTTTTGTCTATTTTTGGTACTGGAATACTATTGTCTTCATTAACTGAGATTATAAGTATTCTAAACTCATCAATTTTTGGTAAGTGGTATTATTTCTTTCCTTAAATGTTTGATACAAAATTATTAATAGATTGTTGTCATACACTATACTTATACAACTTTTTAAAACTTTACAATACATTGTTATTATGGGTTTTGCTCTGAATAAGTCATTATTTTTTAAAGATATTAAATAATAAAAATTTTGCTTTATCATGAAATTCACCCAAATGTCCATCAATGGTAGACTGGATAAAAGAAAATGTAGTATATATACACCATGGAATACTACACAGCCATAAAAAGAATGAGATTTTGTCCTTTGTAGCAACATGGGTGGAGATAGAGGCCATTATCCTAAGCAAGCTAACACAGGAGTGAAAAACCATATATGTACCACATATTCTCACTTATAAGTGGAAACTAAACATTTAGTATACATGGACACAAGAAGGAAATAACAGACACTGGGGCCTACTTGAAGGTGGAGGGTGGGTAGAGAAAGAAAAATGAAAAACTACCTATCAAGTACATGCACACTATCTGGGTGACAAAATAATCTGTATACTAAACTCCCATGACATGCAATTTACCTATATAATGAAGCTATACTCGTACCCCTGAACCTGAAATAAAAGGTTTTTAAAAAGAAAGATTTAGAAAGTAACTTAAAAAAGAGAAAATGGCATTATGTTTTCACATCTAGTTATCATTTATGGTACCCTTTATTTCTTTTTGTATATACAAGTTACAATGTAGTATTATTTCCTAATGTCATGAACACTTTTTAATGTCTATAATACCTCTTACACTGGAAGTCTGCTGATGATGAATTCTTTTTATTATTTCTGTAAAAGTCTTGATTTTACATTTGTTTATTATTACACATTTATTTTTGATAAATGTGGATTTACAGATAGTTGTAAGAAATAACACAAAGAAAACATCAGAAAGATGGCAGAATAGGAGTTTCCAGTACTTGTCCT